CAAGTGAAGATGTTGAGAAGGCAAGTGAATATATATATATGTATGTTGCTCAGAGGCAATGTTGAGGTTAGATGGCAATCGAGATTTTATGAAAACAAAAAAAAAAATCTCAAAGGTGTATTAAACCCAAATTAGCAAAACAGATCTGAAGGAGAAGAAACGCGTCGTTTCCTGCATTTAGGTTTTGTTAGCAGCAATAAAGAGACAAACCAGCACGATTGAAAAGGTGGGGGAAAACCAGGGGTTTTGGTTAACCACAAGTTTAATTTGAACCTAAAGTATTAACAACAGCAAAAAAAAGAAAAAAGGAACCTGCGGGTATAATTACAAGAAGAAAAATGGTTATGGGTGTTCAAGTATCTAGTGACAAGCACAGTGCTTTATTTATGCCACCTCAGTAGCTCCCCTAAAAGGTGTGTGTGTCACTCCAGGTATGTTTCACCCCCACCTAGTGCTCATGGTTTTCTGCATGCCGTGTGGTTCTTGCCTCCCTGCCTCTGCTCAGCCGCCTGTCTCCGCTTAGAATCCCACGTCCCCTTCCTGAATTCACCTAGGCATTGAAATCTTCATCTTAAAACCCACTCAGCATTTTCTTTAGAAAGCACCCAGGCCTGGTGCAATGGCTTTCACCTATAATGCCAGCACTTTGGGAGTCTGAGGCAGACAGATAGCTTGAGGCCGGGAGTTCAAGACCAGCCTGGCCAACATGATGAAACCCTGTCTCTACTAGAATTACAAAAATAAGCCAGGCATGGTGGAGCGTGCCTGTAGTCCCAGCTTCATGGGAGGCTGAAGCACGAGAATCATTTGAACCTGGGAGGCAGAGGTTGTAGTGAGCTGAGACTGCACCACTGCACTCTGGCCTGGGCGACAGAGTGAGACCTTGTCTCAAAATAATAAATAAGTAAAAATTTTGAAAAATGAAAGCCTTCCCTGCTACCCTCCCCAATCCTTCCAGGCTGGGTAAGATTTATAATTACTCATCTGACTGCCGGACTAGCTGGGAGCTTGCTGAGGGCAAGTACTTTTCTACCCATCTCACTGTAATTAATGTTTTTTTACTCACTAGCATCTACTGGTCAGACTAAGCTTGAAATATTGTGCCCAATTTTAGGCCCCAGACTGATGGGATGGCAAGGGGACTGGTAGCTTTGTCGTGTGGCTAATGGAGGGACATGCTCTTCCTTCAGCTGTCCGATGGGTTATCACAGGCTCTGCAGAGCACCTTGCGGCATGTCACTCAGAGCAAGGAGGGGTTGTCTAAATTAAAACCATTTACAACCAGTGGTTTGCTTTGGAGAGTAGTAAGTTAAGTTCCCTGTCACCCAAAGCTCAATGTGGGCTTGTCAGGGCAGCTTTATTGGACACTAAAGTGGATTAGTGTCTACCGTTCTTTTCAGCTCTGAGATTATTCCGTGAGCATTTATTAGGCACATTCTCTCTGCCAGGTTCTAACACAGGTCAAAAATCTGCGAAAGGAGAAAGGCCAGGAAGGATGGACTAGAAGCATCTCAGACCACATCACAATGCTGAGAACATTTGGACCAGGCTGATAGGGCATTCCCAAGCCAAGGCTTCCCCCACAGACAAATTCTGTGTTGGGAAGGAATGGGCTGGCACTGGTACCCCTGCCATGTTCAGTCAGTGGCTGGGAGCAGCCTGAGAGCAGCATGGCCTCTGTGCACCAGCTCTGCTCCCATAGCAGGTTCTCCTGCAGGGCAACTGAAGGGCATTCTTCCATGGCTGCCACACAGGGACTCTAGAGAGCATTGCCCCTCACACAGCAGCTCCCCAGAGTGCTCCCCCAGAATCATCTCAGGGCTCTGTGGTCATCTTCCAGCAAATGGTAGAGTTGGGCTCCAACTCAGATCCCTCTCATTTAATAAAATCCATGTTTTGTTAACCAAGACCATGATGCATCTCAGGATCTGTCCTAGGTCTCGAGACAGCATCCAGAACACACACCTACTTGTCGACTGTCACATTTAGCAGCTGAGTGTACCAGAAGCAGTAAGTTCCAGAACTTAGCCCATAATTTGATGTATGGCTCATTTACATTGGGATGGAACTGTGATTTAACCCAAAGTCTATCTGGTTCTGTGTACAGTTTAGTCTAATTTCTTTTTTTTCTTTTCCTTTCCTTTTTCTTTTTTTTTTAAGACAGGGTCTTACACTATCACCCAGCCTGGAGTGCAGTGGCACAATCATGGCTCACTGCAGCCTCAACCTCCTGGCTCAAGTGGTCCTCTCACCTCAGCCTCCCAAGTAGCTGGGACTGTAGGCACACATCACCACACCTGGCTAATGTTTTTGTTTTTGTTGTTTTTTTGTAGAGACAAGGTCTCACTATGTGGCTCAGGCTGGTCTCAAATTCCTAGGCCCAAGTGATCCTCCCACCTCAGCCTCCTGTAAGTGCTGTGATTACAGGTGTGAGCCACTGTATCCAGCTAGTTTACTCTAATTCCTTTTTTTTTTTTGAGACGGAGTTTTCGCTCTTGTTACCCAGGCTGGAGTGCAATGGTGCGATCTCGGCTCACCACAACCTCCGCCTCCTGGGTTCAGGCAATTCTCCTGCCTCAGCCTCCTGAGTAGCTGGGATTATAGGCACGTGCCACCATTTTTTGTATTTTTAGTAGAGACGGGGTTTCACCATTTTGACCAGGATGGTCTCCATCTCTTGACCTCGTGATCCACCCACCTCAGCCTCCCAAGGTGCTGGGATTACATGTGTGAGCCACCGTGCCCGGCCCTCTAATCTCTACTAGACTTCATGAAGACAGGGCTGCAAAGACTTAACTAGAGGAGGAGCAGCTTTACCTAAGCACATTCTCTTAAAAAATATGTTGTTTCAGGCCCCAAAACACAGAGATGGTAACTTCTGCGCTCTTAAATATTGTGGAATGAATGATGAATTATAGGGAAGAATGATGCAGCACAAACTGCAGACCAAAATCCTTACGATTCACTCTGAATACATCTGTCCACAGATGTGCCCAACACAAGGCTGGAACAGCTGAGATCAGGTGTGCCCTAGGCTCCTAAACACCAGAGACAGACCTGAGTAGTCAGCGGCAAGGTTGAGACCCAACAGTGCAGGCATTCAGATCAGGCACTGTCACTCAAGCTGTGAGATGTGCATAGGGTTCATTCAAAGTGAAATTGAGGGAATATGTAGGGAAGGGCCTTATATATGGCACTGTACACAAAAATGTTTTTTAAAAGTATAATAATCCATACACTGGATCATCCACAGTCTCCAAGCAGTGGGGGAGTTGGGCCCCGAGGGAACTCAGCCCTCTGGAACACTGAGGAACTGACTGCATTGCCCAAGTTGAAGTTTCCAAGTCACAAAGAACTAATCCTATAAAAACCACTGTTTTTTTCATCTCAGAACTGCAGGGCTGGGGATATAGATCTTCTTAAGTATGGTGACGTGAACATAATGGAACTTTTTCTCAACTGCTTGGTCTCAGCATTATAATAATCCACCATTTTACACACTTTCCTTCTGTATGATTGCTCCCAAATTGTTGGGCATTACAGTTCTGTTTCCAGTTCCTCATCTTTATGCAGCCATGCTTGCTGATGACCACTCCTCACTGTGGCCAGTGTGCCCTTCAGCAAGCACAATTCCCTCTTTAAAAATAAAAAAGAGAGAGAGAGAGACTGGGCGTGGTGGCTCACGCCTGTAATCCCAGCACTTTGGGAGGCTGAGCTGGCGGATCACCTGTGGTCAGGAGTTCGAGACCAGCCTGACCAATATGGTGAAACCCCATCTGTTTAATTAATTAATTAGAAACAAAGGAGTATTGCTTTTTTAAATGTAGGAATTCAAATAGGCCAGAGATGATGTTAAAGATGATTAGGGCTTATGAAGAACCAGTGGGCTCTGAGAGACTTCCTCTGAATACCTGCAGGGGTTTTAGTGTATTAATTTTAGTGATGGCTATTTTATGCTTCCAGGGCTTCTTCCCTGCTTCTCTGTCATATTTTGAACAATCGAGGTTGCTTTGCTACGTAAATGTTTTCAGCAAAGTATGGAAGTAGCCACCTATTTGTTTTGATTTATGTTGCTCTTTTCTTAGATCACCTAAACCCCTCATTGCCTACATAGCTTGTCTTGATGCTACCCTAGCATAATTCCATAAATGGAGCATATTGTTGGATGTTGGAAAGAATATTATCTACGTCATATGCTCTAGAGTCAGTCAGAAGTGGTTGGAAATCCCCAGTTTAATCACTGTGTGAACTCATATACATCTTTTCAAGTCTTTGAGCCACTTTTTTCTCATCTAAAAAATGGAGGTAATAAACAGATGCTTCCTAAATTGTGAAGCTTAGGTGCTGTAATGCGTTCTCCCTCATGCGCTTTTTTTTTTTTTTTTAAACAGAGTCTTGCTCTGTCGCCCAGGCTGTTGTGCAGTGGTGCAGTGCCGGCTCACTACAACCTCTGCCTCCTGGATTCAAGCAATTCTTGTTTCTCAGCCTCCTGAGTAGCTGGGATTACAGGCATGTGCCACTGTATTTTTAGTAGAGACGAGGCGGGGGGGTGTCTCACCATGTTGGTCAGGCTAATCTCGAACTCCTGACCTCAAGTGATCCAACCCATCTTAGCCTCCCAAAATGTTGGGACTACAGGCATGAGCCACCACGCCTGGCCACATTCCCTTATTTAATACAGTACATGGAATGTTGTGAACAGTTGGCAAATTGTAATTGTAATTCCTTTCTCATCCAGGCAACTTTTCCCCTGGAAACAAAGCTGTGAGTCTTTTCCAAGCTATTGAAAGTTTTGGCACAGAATCTCCTCTCCCCTCTGCAGGCCCCTGAGAGAATGTAAACTCATCACCTCACAAGGCAGTTCTTCCATAGACAGTTGGAAGTTCTGGCAATTGGAAAGTTTCTTTATCTCAAATAGAAATTGGCCTGTTTCAGAAAAGGGCAAAGTCAACTTCCATCCCCTGTAGCTGAGGCTGACACCAATTTTTTTTGCTTTATAGTGAACAGAGTATCTGCCAAGCCCGGGCTTCCGTGATGGTCTATGATGACACCAGTAAGAAATGGGTACCAATCAAGCCTGGCCAGCAGGGATTCAGCCGGATCAACATCTACCACAACACTGCCAGCAACACCTTCAGAGTCGTTGGAGTCAAGCTACAGGATCAGCAGGTCAGTGCTGGAATTACAGATTACACCCATGAGCCTGCGCACCACCTCCTCACCACCCACCCCTTACACACACATATCACTCAAAGATGTTAGAACAAAAAGGTCAGTATTCGGAATCAGAGGGCCTAGGCTCAGATTTTGACTCTGTATCCTCATACTTCAAGGTATGACACCTTAAGCAAACTGTTTTCTGGATTTTACTTTTTACCTATGTCATATGGAGACAATAATCCACACCCTGACTATTTCACTGTGTTATTGTCAGATTGAAATAAATAATAGATGTGGGAAGCTTTGAAAAAATATATTGCACAAATGTGTTCATCCTAATCATATGTAAGGTGGCCATTAAGGTTTTTGGTTCATCAACTTTCTAAGTCTTACTTTAGAACAAATATCAAGATGATTTGGAGAACCTGGGGTCATTTCTCTCCCTAACAGTACAACCTAGGCAAATCAGATATGATAATTTGTTTTACCTGGCAAGGGAACAACCATGTCTACCTGTGTCATGAATAGTCGTACACACATAATCATGACAAAATACTCTGATGTGTCATGGACTAAAATAGGGGCATGGAGAAACAGGCTGTGTGACTTAACCACAGGGACTTTGGTTACTTCGGTGCTCTCCCTCCAACTCTCTTCTTAGAGATAGACAGTGGCATTTATAGCAGTGAAGTTAACAGATCTGTGATTATAGCATTTATGAAAAACTCTATATAAACAGCATCTTGTGGCAGGCTTTGTGGGTCAAACTTCAGCTAAGTTGAGCAGCAGGTTAGCTGCTGTCTTGGAAAGAATCAGCAATCGGAAGAGAGAGAACAGAAACTCTGGGTTCTATTTTTAGTGTGTTGCCTGTTGATTGGGTTTTTGCTTTAACCAAAATAGCCTTACTAAGTTTCAGATGTTCATGGCTAACAGAGACATCCCTATCCCAGGACCCCTGATAAAAGATAATCTTTCTAACCTCGAATTCCTGGTACCTCCAGAGGCATCCTTTTCTTTTGTTGATGAGCCTTAATAGTATAATAGTATATGTGTCTTTCTAGAAACCTTCACAAAGCTGCCCTCCCGTCATTCCAATTCACTAATTCTAGATCTGCCTTTTAGTGACACACTGTGCCACACATTGCAGGATATATAGAACCTTTGGCTCCAATTTTGGTGACAGTCAAAAACATCTCAAGTTTTTAGAACATCTGATGGTTGAGGCTTGCGAGGGCAGTACTTCCATGTCTTTGACACAAGGTCCGTTACCTGGTGTGGTTCCTGAATCATAATAGGTGTTCCCTAAGGATTGCTTTTATTATGACAAGTTTTTTGTTCCCTTCCTGCCTCTTGGTTGCCCTCCAAGGCATAGTAGGATGACAGCATGGTATACTGGAAAGGGCATGGGATGGAAGAGTTCCCCAAAACCCATACACAGCCTGTTCTCAGGGACCTCAGCACCTCAGCGCCTCCTTCAGAGGAAACCACATGTTGAGAAAGAGACCTTTAAGTATATTGAATATTGGCCCCCACTCTCTTCTGGCTTGTAGGGTTTCTGCTGAGAGATCTGCTGTAAGTCTAATAGGTTTCCCTTTATGGGTAACCTGACCTTTCTCTCTGGCTGCCCTTAGTATTTTCTCCTTTGTTTCGATCCTGGTGAATCTAACAATTATGTGCCTTGGGGTTGCTCTTCTTGAGGGAAAACTTTGTGGTGTTCTCTGTATTACCTGTATCAACATACTTAAAGAACAGAACTTTCAGCCTAGAATCTCATATCCTGCCAAACTAAGCTTCACAATTGAAGGAAAAATAAAATCTTTTATGAACAAGCAAGTACTCAGAGATTTTATTACCACCAGGCCTGCTTTACAAGAACTTCTGAAAGAAGCATTATACATAGAAAGGAACAACCAGTATGAGCCTTTCTAAAAATATACCAAAAAGTAAAGAGCATCAACATAAAGAAGAATTTACATCAATGAATGGATAAAATAGCCAGTTAACATCAAATGGCAGTAACCCTAAATTTAAATTGACTAAATCCCCCAATCAAAAGATACAGCCAAAACCTAACGGTGTATCCAAAGATACACAAATACTCAAAACAAAGGGTTGGAGAAAAATTTACCAACCAAATGGAGAGCAAAAATAAACGAATAAACAAAAAGCAGGAGTTGTAATTCTCACATTTGATAAAATAGATTTCAAAGCAACAAAGATACAGTGGTAAAAGGATCAATGTAACAATAAGAGATCTTAATACCCAGATGCATAAGACCCATAACGAGATTTAGACTCAACGAGACAGAAAATTAATAAGAATATCCAGGACTTCAACTCAGATCCAGAACAAGTAAACTCAATAAATATTTATAGAGTTCTCCATTTTAAATACACAAAATATTGATCAGCCATTATTAATACCCATTTTTAGAATGAAGCAATATTCCTGTTCTCTCTCCCTCTTTTTCTTTCTCTTTCTTCCTCTCCTTCTCTCCTTTTTTTACTTTTCAACATCCTAGTTCCTCACCTCATACTCAATACCTCTGAACACCTGATTCCTTGTGATTCTCCCGTCCCACTAAAAAAAAAAGAGAAAGAGACCTTTTCCCCACCCCAGGACAGACTGACAGCAGTCTTCAGTGGTATTCTGTTTAAATTTGGAGGACTGTGTTGAGGCCTCCTAAGTTAGAGTCTGACTGAGAAGTTCCAAGCACAGCCTCCCACTTGGATTCGCATGTTCAGGAGACAGACTGTCAGACAGGATTGAGGATAGCTCCGCAAATGGATGAATGAAGCATGTTAGCTAGGAATAGAAAAGAGATTCTTGGTAAACCAAGGCATTAGAGAAAATGGCGGGAAATCTGGTCCAGAACAACTTTTAGGGACCTCTATAGAAAGACTGATTTTTCACAGATTTGGTTTTAGTCCATGTATGTTACATCTTAAAGTGGTCAGTCAGACATGGTTAAGAGAGTCAAAGATTCCTGGTTTTATAGCCAAATAGGGATATCTAACATGTTTAATGTTCTTTATGGTTAATGGAGCACTTTTTACGTCTGTTATTTCATTCTCCCAGAAAGAATAATGGTACAAGAATTATTGTCACCATTTGCTAAACAGGTGGATATAAAACCAGGTAATCAGTTGTGGAGAAAAGATATAGTAATTTATAGTACCATTAGCCAAAATCTAACTTGAATCTCACATTCAGGGTGAAAAACCTGAAGGATTTTTAGTTGAGAATGCATTTTGATCACAAAAAAATGTGGCTGGTTGCAGTGGCTCATGCCTGTAACCCCAACACTTTGAGAGGCCAAGGCAGGTAGATCACTTGAGCCCAGGAGTTCGAGACTAGCCTGAGCCACACAGTGAGACCCTATCTCCACAAAAATATATATATAAATTACCTGAGCATAGTGGGGCATACCTATTAATCCCAGCTACTCAGGGGGCAAGGTGGGAGAGTCTGTTGAATCCAGGAGGTTGAGGTTTCAGTAAGCTGTGATCGTGCCACTGCATTCCAGCCTGGGTCACAGGGCAAACTCTGTCTCAAAAAAAAAAAAAAAAAAAAAAAGCAAAAAATGTTAGTGATTTCTCAGGCTGAGTAGAGTGAATTGATAGAAGTAGAATAAATTAATAGAGTGAATTAATAGAGATGAAGTGAATTTATTGAGGCAGAGGTCCAGAGAAAGGGAGACTACAGTCCTTCTCTGCTGTGCATGAGTTATACTTCCCTCAGGACACTGAGACTGCATCTGAGTACAGCAAACTGAAATCTACTAGAAGAAGGCCATCCAAACTGGTGGAAGATCCGAAAGTGATGTAATATGGGGAACGATTGAAGGAGTAGCAAGTGATACTTACTTGGAGAAGATAGAAATGTTTTCAAGTCTCTTAAGGGTGCTATGTGGAAGAGAAATCTCACTTTCATTGTGGACCCCAGAGAACAGAAATATTCTGAACAATATTCCTAGAGAACAGAACTAGGAATATTGCCTGGATGCTGTAATGAAGATGATTTTAATGCAGTAAAAGGATGAACTTTCTTACAAGCACACTGTTGAAAGATGGAAAGTGTTACATTGCCAGCCCGAGAGGTAAGATTCTGGGAGAGACAGTCTATCATCAAGTAGAGATTTGGATGAGATGAGACCTCCAAAATCTTTGCGAATCTGTAGATTCTGTAGTTTTTAGATCCAGGCATATATAGGGACAAGAAGATTGTTCTCCACCATCAAGCATCTTTCTTTTTTTAAAGGACTCTTGACTGTTTTTACACAGAGTCCCCAGAAACGTGAAGACAGTACAGTCATGCATCCCTTAACGAGGGGGAACACATTCTGAGAAATGTACCATTGGGGGATTTTGTTGTCATGTGAGTATGCTTATACAAACATAGATGGTATAGCCTACTATGCGTCTAGGCTATATTGTGTAGCCTGTTGCTCCTAGGCTACAAACCTGTACTGAATACTGAGGGCAGTTGTAACACGTGTGTGTAAACATATGCGAGCATAGAAAAAGCATAGTAAAAACACCGCACTGTAGTCTTACAGGACCACCATTGTATATACAGTCTGTTGTTGACCAAAACATCATTATGTGGTCCATGATTATATTTGGAGTTGCAAGACCTTCCTTTAAAAGAACAGGAAAGGCACTCCTGCTTACTCCTGCACTCCCCAGAATAAAACTTGTGCAAACGTTGTAATTATGGGCTCCTATGCAAAAAGTATGACATTTTAAAATGTTCATCCTTCAGCAAGTGTCCAGATCAGTCCTGCCAAACCTTGGAGAATTATTTTTAAAATAAAGCTGGTAAAGAGATTCCAATGAGGCCTCCAAAAACAAAAAGTTGAAAGTAAAAAATTTTAAAAGATAAACCTTACAGACACTAACCAAAAGAAATTGGTGTGGCTATGTTAATATCAAAGAAGGCTTTAAGGCAACAAGTATTCCTAAAGATAATGACAGACCTTTTTAATGATAAAAGGGTAATTGAAAAA